TCGCGCCGCTTCTTCCGAGTGCACATGCATGACTGCAACCGTATCGTGCATTCGTGACAAAGTGCCCCTCCGATACACGCGCGCTCACGAAAGAATGTGCACTCGTAGATAATTTTATTCGCGGCGAGAAGCGACTTTAATAGTGACGCCATACAATACATGTATACGTATATATATATATATATATATATATATACACCTATATTCGAATCTTTATTTCATCCTCGATATATATTGCACGTATTTACGGATAATTCCATAAGCGCAAGCGCACTTTTAATAGCGATTCATTCAATCTCGTACATTGGAGAGATTTCTCGTGGAAAGATATATTTTCCTGGATCCATCGCTGTTTTTCCTGTCGGATCTCTCCGCGGGCAATTTCGCCGGGTTCGCTAATTAACTTTTAACAGGAACAAATAGATAACGCGCAGTCGGGTTATAAGCTAAACGACCACGTTTTTCCCAGAAATGCATGAAGAATTATTTTTCTATCCAAGAGAGAGATAGAATCAAGGAAAAATACATAAATAAATATTAACTTTAACTCTTTCTGCATTCCATACACGAATGATCATCATGTACCATAACTTTATCGATCCTTTAAAATAAATTCTTTAAGGGTCCACGATTAATGATTTAGATATAAATTAAATTTTAAAATTCAAACTTTTTGCAGATTACTTTTTTAAAATTACGGTAAAATAAGATAACTTCGACCAAAATTTAAAAAAAATATTTAGATAGCAGGCACATAGTAGATAAATCAGGTCGCATGTTTCAAAATATTTTTTAAGGTATTTTATTTTTAAGGACATTCACACAAATTTTAATATGTTTGTTGTCTAAATATTATCTTTGGACCAAAATTACTTCGTTTTACAATATTGCCTACACACACACACACACACACACACACACACACACACACACACACACTCTCTCTCTCTCTCTCTCTCTCTCTCTCTCTCTCTCTCTCCTCTCTCTCTCTCTCTCTATTATTTTCATTATCATTTTTTAATAATTTGAAGGGGGTATACAAAACATTATATTATAAACAAAATTACTACTGATACACATATAATATATCTTATTTTAGCACTTGAGAAAATTTTCATCCTAAAGGATTCGATAAATGGCCATATTCACCTATAGCGATTTTTTTGTTTTATAAGACGCTTATTACAATACATTGAGTAAACCAGGAGGAGGCACAATGCTAAAGAGCGAAATAACTATCACAAGGACTATCTGCAAACAGTCGTTAATTACCGTTGTCCGAATGTCAGGTAATGTGAGAGAGTACGATTGTACTTTCGCTTATTGCCCGTGAAATGTACATTGATCATTCGCGGAACGGATGAGGTGAGGCGATTAATCAGACCACGATAGACGTCGCGAGGATACCTTCTCGGTAAAGTCGATGCCGCAGACATCGCCACTAACGAAACACGTGTCAACGCGCGTTAAGTCGCAAACCCCCAGAGAACCAGTGCGACACGCTCGTTAATCACCAGCACGTCGAGCGTGATGGATTAAAATCAGCGACGCATCCCTACGTGCCACTTTCTTTCTTCGCGAATCATCCCCTTTCGATCAGACGTTCCCAAAGGTTCTGCAAGTTTTTGCGGATATGAGTTACGTTAACATTATACGAGCTACTAACTGAAATCTTTTTGTTTATCCTTTGCAGAGATATATAAAATATCGTTTTTCTGCGAAAGAGTTTTGTTAATTCCAATATTTTAGTAAAAATATCTTGCAAGTTTAATTTAAAAATATGTAAAGATAAAATTGTACGCTAAATGTTAAAAATATATTTAAGTACAATTTTTTATAACCGTTATTTGTATTTTCATAGCTGTTTAATATCTGATCAGACATCATGTAATATTGCTTATCTATTAAATTTTTTAATTACTATTTTAATCTTTAAAAGAACAAGGTAATTTTACGAGCAATTTCTGTAAAATCTCTTCTTATTCAGCAACTTTCTCAGAAATTTTACTCTCTATTGTCATAAATTATCAATCGACTCTAACATTTTCTTTTCTATGATCACAGAGATGCCTCTTACTTTTACCATTTAGTTCGCATTAAAGTATCGAAGGGCGCTTAAAAATAACTGCGACATTATCGTCAGTGACATATTGACGAGGAAAAGTACACGGCGTGGGTACTTATGGTCTAGAATTATTATTAGCTCTACGACTATTGTTAGAATTACATTGTTTTACGCTAGGATTTACGTAATGAAGGAGAATAGCGATGAGGAAGTTAGTGAATCAATTAATGAGACATAATCGAAGTAACAATCTATATTATTTCAGTGAGATAACTTCCATAATTAGATATTTCATAAATAAACACATAGGTACATCACACGTTATGAAAGCTATTAGATCTTTTAAACCTTTAAAAAACGTTAAATTAACAATATAACAAACAATCGTATCTACATCGTCGGGAATAATTATGAGTGTAACAATTGTGAGCTGTAAAACGTAAGTACAAGGCAATATCTTAGGAATCCACTTATACTTCGTCTTCGAAATACTGCAAGAACGGCATTCGGAATTTTGGGAAGAATATCTTGGCGGAATGGGAACTTACCGCGTGCTCATATTTCTGGCTCCAGGATAACTCTTAGATTCTCCATCCTCGAGCATCCGCGTAATGTCTAAGATTGATGCGTAAGATATATATACCAGGAGGAGAAAGCATATTTCGAGAAAATGAGCGAGCGCGAAAATAGGAAATCCGCCCGAAAAGTCATGCGAAGAGCCGGCGCCGCGCAGCGCTTCCGTTTATCAGACAATTGAAATTTCCGACAAGTGATAAGCATCGCTACTCGTTTCCTCGTAATCAACCAACGATCGACAGACAGCTGTCAAGATTCCTTCTCTTACTACAGCTGGCATTATTTTTTCTCTGTGACAGTAAAAAAAAGAACCCGATTTATTCACACATGGCTGTACAAAGAATTGGCGAAAAAATAATACGAAGCGAGAGAATGGAAGATGACACGAGCAAACCGACTTCGAGTAATAAATGACCATGATGAATAATAACTCGGTTATTGAAAGAAAATTCCAGCCGTAGTTTTCCAACTCGCAATATTAGTCTAGTTCCCGGATAAGGTCCTTCTTTCGTTTCTTCTCCGAGGAGGCTCACCTCCTCCCCCCCCTTCCCCTCTCACCGACCACTTTGCTATGCTTTCTTTATTCCGCAAAGCCACGTCTGCGTAATGGCTATTCAGATATCGAATCGATTTATTTCCCAGGGGGCTTTCGGAAACTTCGGCCATCTCTGCGGTGAACTTGGAATAGCTATCTTCCTTCTCTTTCTCACTTTCTTTCACTCCTTTATATCTACCTCTCTCTTTTGCAGCGCACTTTGGGGTCCCCAAGATCTTGGACTTTGCCATAGAGCGTGAAATGTTCATTGGGTCACATTCGTTTCGCAAAACTTTTATCGCCACGTTTTGTCTAAATCTTCTAAATCGACCGTTAAAGGAGCGTAGAAGATACTCGAACGAGATAAATTGCAATTTATGCATCCAGATTGATAAATCGAGAATTTATTTATATATTTAATAATTTTTTAATGAAAATTGTAATTTAATATACCTTATAAATAAATAGTAACTATATTTATTATTATTGGATCTAATAAAAATATCAGGAGACAGGAGGGTAATGTCTCAATGTTAAGACATTAATAGTAACATTATGTGATGTAAGCTGCAGTCAATAATTGACATTGTATCAGTTCATCGGAAAATTTGGTTTTGATGTAACTATCAAACGCTTTAAAAGCGTCTTTCAGTCAGGAAATTCGATGTAATCGGGCAATAGATAGACGGTTTAATTATACGGATAAATGGATAGATAGATGGAGAGTTAGTTTCATTAGATAGATAAATGGATATGTGGGTAGATTTATACCTAGTTAGGTCAATTATCGAAGAGATTCCGATATAATGCTATCAGAACGATTGCTTCTCACAAATGTGATTAAAATCACGTCCAATTAAGAAAAGCGGACGGAAAAGTCGATAACCGATGGAAAGACCAAGCAATTGAATGAATGATATCATTTTCGTGAAAGTTGTATTGTCTCCTTATATGCTAATATGATTAAAAAATCATCAAAGTAAAAAATAATATAAATTCTAAAATAATAAATTCTCTTTGCATACTCTAACATCTTCTGTTGCTACTCAAATTTTATGTTATATGCTTACAAATTTATTATTGTTATTACTTTTGGAATATTGATATGTAAGGAACGATTAGTACTTCCAAGTCTGTAATTAAATAAGATGGAGATTAAGATGATATATTTTTCATCGGTCTTTTGTATCAATCAATAAGAAATAAATCAATCGTATTCTATCAACAATATCGCGTGATGAAGAAAGACGAAACTTGGACTTAACTGTACTTATCTGGATTCTCCCATATATGTACAACACAATATGAACTGGTTACTAGAACGTGCACATTAAGTCTTCGCGAGGAACTACTCGGGAGAATAGTTTAAGTGCCTTTCTAGAGAAAGCTCATCAAGACGCTCGTCAAATAATTAATGCTCTCCTCCGAAGAGAGATAGAGCACTTTAAGATTCACTTCGACGCGCCTTCAAAGAACGCGACTTGCCAATATCCGCAAAAGAATTTTCGCAATGTTAATTATTAGATCCTAATTTTCTAAGCGCACTAAAATGTAATACGAAACATCAGCTACGTTTTATTACATTGGTTATCGCGATAAAGAAATATAATATTAAAATCATTGTAAAAATTTAATTCAATAAAAATTAAATGAAAGGATTGAAAAAGTTATTATCTAATAATACATTTTAATATACTTTATTGAGATTTACGAATTCTATTTTAAACATCCAATAGCAAATTTTTAAAGAGATATATAATAAGACGCATTAAGCAGATTGAATTTTCTCTGCATCGCAAAATAAAATGATGTAAATCGTCTAACCTTATTCGGGTATCCATTGTATCTGAGCAGTTTCTTGCAACACTTGCCGCGGTTCTCATAATAGAACATCTGCACCATGTCCGCGCGATCGGTCGCGCCGCTGACGGTGAACGGCGCCCTGGACGACGACGGCGGTTGTTGTTGCTGTTGTTGTTGCTGCTGCTGAGTCGGCGATTGCCGACGCCCCAGTGGCACGCAAGGACACCACCCCGAGACCATCACACCGATCGGGCCTGTCGCTGGCCCGATTCGCCTGACCCAAAGCTTCCAATTTCTTCTTCGCTTCCTCGTTCTTTCTTCGAAGATCACTTCGTCCCGTTGAAGACAAGTCTCTTCATTGTGTCCCTCTTCACCTCCTCGCGAAGTAAACTCTTCTATACTTCCAACCTCACGTGGGCCTGAGAAATCTCGTTAGAAATCTGATAATTTTTTGCGATGAAGTTACGTCGTGGCTTTGTTAGCGCATTCTAAAGCCTTTTATAAGAGGAACAAATTTGACGTGATGCTGGCGATAGTTGTCACATGGAGGAATTTGGCAACGAGTCTTGTACTACTTGTCGATGCGTTGGCAGCGAGCACCCGAGGGACCTGGAAAAAAATGGATGATTAAAAAAATAACTGTGCTAGATAATCTATGTGCTAATAGATTTATTCTGTTTAACCATATATATTCTTATTTGTGTCTTTAAACCTCTCTCTCTCTCTCTCTCACATGTATGTTTATTTTATTTTTAACATAAAAAGATACTAAATTGTAGGTAAATAGAAGAGGAATATTAATCGTTAGTCATGAATTTTAAAGATTAAATGGGGTTGGTGTTTTATACCATGTATGCTATCGTTTTCCATAACAAAAAACCTAACATTTATGCGTCTTCGAAATTGAAAGTATTGCCTTTTATTACAAACGAACAAAGTATTCGTGAAACACAGCAAGACTTAATTTTGAAGTGAGTTAATCAAATCTAACAAACTCTTTCGCGAATATTGGGACAAAATTGCGGAATGTGGCGGACGTCAAGGAGGAAGCGAATCCTGCCAGACTATCTGTGTGGAGTTGTCGTTCGTTCCACCACGAATGTCGTTCGTGCTTTTCAGACTTTCGAAGAAATCTGTCCGATTAAATTCGAGTGCATGTCGTTGCGAATTACGGTCGGATCCATTACCGCACCAAAAAAGCGTGCTCTCCGTAAATCAACGGCCGTTAGATTTGCCGTTCGATCTTGTGAGTTAAATTAACGACTACTGCAAAAAGCGCGTCAGGTTGATAAATTGGTAGATAGAAGGATAGATGCTGTAGAAGGATGAATTTCCTTCAACCATAGATTCCCCAAACACGACCTGAGATAAATAGATATAATTTATTTAGATCTTGAGGGGCGAGTCTTGTAAGATATACGAGAACAGGAAACTAGAATGGGATACTTAAGATTGGTGATAACATTCGCAAATAAATGTATTTTGTATTGTAATTAATCTTTTCTTAAAAGTAATATTGAAAAGTAATTACAATAATAGAATAATAATAACATCGTTATCTTTAATTAAATAATGCGTTTATATTATATCTAGAATTTTTTCCAGAAGAGATATACAAAAAGGTAATCGTTACTATTAATAGAAAAGCAGTCTTTAATTAATATAGTATTTTAATAATATGTCATGGTATATGTAATGGTATGTCAATCATTCGACATCACGGATCCATTCGAAAAATTGTCAGTTGAGACGTACGTTTTATTTCCTCACAAAACAAAACGAACGTAACGCAAACTGAGTAAAGTAGACGATAGAGCGGGAGGATGAGAGGAGGAGGAGTTGGTGAAGCCGTAAAGATGAGAAAAACAACATAGGAATTTGCAATTCATGAGAAACGTCGTCGTCGTCGTCGTCGTCGTCGCCGTGCGTTAGTCACAGAATGCGCGACCTAATTTAAGAATGGAAAATTTGCGCCGTGTCTCCTCTACTCTTGGGTAATAAACGCGTCGCATACTGTGCAAACATCATTCGACTTACAGAAAATAGCGAGAAGAATTTCCACCTTCCACTTCCGTCAACAAAAGATCGACAATAGTTCCATCAAAGAATTCGCCTTTTCCATTTTAGCGGAATTTTGATGAAAAAATGTGCACTGTTTTCTTAAAATATTACATTTAATATCGTAAAGATAGATGTGGGATTTATATTTAGCCCTTAGTATACACGATGATTTTCCGGTATTAGGTTGCTCGTATCCTAGATTAATTTTCATTATTTTTACAAGCATATAAAAAGTACTAAATAAGCCTTGTATGTATATTATATACTTAAATATTTTTAGAAAGTATTTATAAAGTTGCGTGTTAAAAAAAGGAAAGGAATAGAAAAAGGGAATAGCGATTATTCAACCAAGTGCTTCTGGTATTTCGAAGAAAGAAAATGCGCAAGATAAACAAATGATCCAGCTGTGTGTACTAATAACAGTTAACCTGGACAAAAAGAGTCCTAAAAATCAAAGATAAAAATTAGAGAAATACAAAGTAAAATATTTATTAGAAGAAAGTGTGCTCAGCGAAGGAATTCATCAGCGAGGAAAAATACGTAGTACAGCGATGTCTCTGAATCACCCCGTGATAGAGTATGCAGTCGCATTAAGTCCGGAAGATTAATCGAGCCATGATTTATATGTATTTCCGGCGAAGGTGCAAAGACGCCCTTTTCGCGTTCTCCAAGACAAAGCCGAACGCACAGTTCTCACTCGGGCTTTCTGCAGTTTCCTCGAATTTTGAATCTAATTCCTGTCTGACCTCGTAATACGGGTCGCCGAGGTGCCTAGAGGACGCGCGATAAGTTTGCTTTACGATTGTGCCAGATGACGTTGACTCGAGCCCCGTTTAATAAAGCGCAGGCCGTGAGTAGCCCAAGAGCTGCCTCCCGCAGAGATTTTCAGGTCACCCGGTATACACGCCGTAAAGAGGTGTAATAGGTTAAACGCGCGGGATAAGCGAAACGAACGGGGTTAAACGTGGAAATGGAAATTTTCCAGTTACGTCGGTATTAAATTGGCATTAAATGCAATTAATTTCGTCCACTTTTTATTTCAGCTTCCCATATATGTACATATATTGTATATATCTGAAAAAAAAATTGCAAAATTTGAAAGTAATATATGTGGATCGATATCTTTGACAGACTCGTTATCAGTATCAACGAAGTGAACAAGAGGTGGATTTTTCGAATCCACGAGAGAGGTGTTGAAACGTTAACTAGTATTGGTCGAGGTGTGGGAAACTCCAGGTGATAAACATTTTACGGCTCCCGGTGGATGAAGCGGAAGTGATCTTCTATATTCATGGAAATCTGCGGATCTGGCGTCATAAGGTCTAAATAAATCTATTAGACAAACATTTATCGTAAAAATGTGTGTAACGTACGCATTCCCGTGAGAGAATTTCCGTAGAATTAAAGTTCATGAAGAGTGACATTCGACGGATGTATACGAGTACGTTTCTTTGTAACTTTTGACTTCGCGCTGTTCTCCATCCTCCTCTCTCTCTTTTTCTTTCTCTCCGGACCCATTCGTCCGTTGATGTAACAATTTTTCACCGTGACATTCCCGGCTTAGAGCTATCCCTTGAGAGTTTAACCTGCTCTCGTTTCTCGTTCCTGGCCGAGTGGTCATAGATTACTCACTAAAGCATAGTGTAATCCCAAGTTCTCGTTATTCTGACATAACGTGCTATGCAAAATGCGGCAGATCGTGTAGCGAGACATGAGCGATGGGTTATTTTGATATCTTAATATACCTTTACAACAGTCATACATTTCTCTGATTGTAATATGAATTATCATATCACTACTATGACTGCATAATTATCATATCGCTACTATGACTGCATAATAACTACTGAGAATTAATTATTATGTCGTATATAATTGTTTTCACGTGCGTAAAGAAAATAAAATCTAAACGAAGTAACAATTATTATGCCTTATTTAATTATCTAGGTATGCCTATTTAATTTTCTTTTAACGTTTTCCAAGTTTTTGTCTTTCGGTGTCTATTTTCCTCTGACGCGATTTTTTTTCTTTCGATGATATTTTCATATTTATTCAAGTATTTAAGGAGTTAATATATCGATCGCTCTCACAGGCGAAGAAGTTCTACCGTGAACTAGTTCAATTGAATAAGTTCAGAGCAATTCCTTGTTGCTGTCGTTGCTGTCACTGTGAATTTTCCCTGCGATCCACAACTTTTCGGGGCCGGCTGACTAGTTCGGGCGCGGATTTCTGCACGAACGAGCTAAATCGACTCGACCAGTCTCACCGGAATTGCTTCGTTCGGAGTCTCGCGGAACCGCTAGTAAAATCCACGACGACAGCATCGATTTTTCGATGGCAGGTCGGAGAGAGTTTAATTAAATCGCGGCGTGGAACTTACGGATGAGAGGTGACATCGAAGGAACGTAAAACCCGTAAAAACGTAGATTAACCTCTTCAGCATTGACACAGGACATATTGTAGAAATCGATCTTTGATGCGATTTTCGCGAAAAAAATTCGTAAAATGCATTATTATCAAATATATAACAACGAACGTTTTAAGTTATTAAGACAATTTGACGATGTTAAGTAACGAAAATACAGATACAAATATTAGAAATATATAAAATATGTAATTAATAATTATTAATATTTAATAATTATTTTTTAATATTAATAGAATAAAAAGAAAAAACGCTGAAATATAATAATTATTAATATTAATAGAATAAAAAGAAAAAACGCTGAAGTATCTAAAAATTTAACTAGCTATCTAAAAGTCATCATTTTGTTAGATTATCAAAATAATTATGTAAAACATTTGAACATTGATAACAATGCTACAAAAAGTTTCAATTTTAGCAACCAATTTAAGCCCAATTTAAGTCCTACGTAACTATTTTGATGATGCAAACAAAATTATTTTCAGATGTATGTTGCTAAATTTTTAGATATTTCAACGAAATCCAATTTTTTCCATGCAGTAAAAATCTAATACATCAAATAAGATAAATGTAGTTAGTGGACAACCAATTCATTAAATAAAATCGTAAATTTTAAATAAAGTGTCTATAATATGTTCAACTCTAAATAAATTTGTTATATATAAAAATTTAATAACGAATTTAGAATCGTACTATTAAAAGCTTAATATTTGAAATGTTTTATCACTATGTCCAATAATTGGTTCATGTCCATTAATTAATACATTTACCTTACATTTCTGATATGAAGCTGTAATAAAT